TGTCTCTGACCCGCAGGAAGCAATTTCGGTACCCAACTACCCCGAAATGCCGGATCTTTTCGTGATTGTTATGATCTTCTGGTGGCCGGCTGATCGGGCATAGGTGTCGAGCTGCCATTAAACAGTTCAACCTCCTGCTTGCGACTGCCTTGGCGTCCGGAGGAAGCGCGCTTGCCCTGGTTATTCAGCTCGCCATTGTCTTTGTCGTCGAACTCGGGAGTTCGCCCAAATCCACCTCTTGCTCGCGGCGTAGATTCTGCATGGGAGCCACGTCTTCTTGGGCATACTGGGCCTGTCCGCCCGTTGACCCAGCAGGTGATGTTGGCGCAAGGAGCTGCCCCCCCCCGCCTGATCGCCAGTCTTTTCGACTGCCGCTCGAATCAATCCAGGGGTGGCGCAGGGGCTTTAGCCCTAGAGTTGCCGGCGACCTGCCCCGTCGTGTTCCACTCGCGGCGACGAGGGGGAGCGCTGCCATCGCTGCCGTTAGCGTCTTCAGCAGGATCGTTGCTTGGATCGCGATAGTGCCAGTCCGATTGGTGTACCTTAGGGATGTGATTATTTCGTAGATCGCCCCGAGCTTTTTCCTCTTCTTGAACTTCGTCATCGGACAACGACACGTAGTCTTTAATGGGCGTGGCCGTCCTTCCGCCCGCGCCATCACCGCGGTCGGGATGCCAAGGCGTCTTGCCATGATGTTGACTGCGCGATGGACGATCAATCTGGCATTTTCCACAATGCCGACTGTTAGGGGGGCATGGGCGCATGCGGCATCCCCTGCGCTAAATCACCTTGCGCTTGAATGCCCGCGTTTCGGCGCTGTCTCTGGCACGACGGTCTGATGTTTTGATGGCGCGGCCTCTTCGAACAACACAATGTTTTAGAAGCCACCAATGACGAATCTGGGCCTCTGTAAGGCCCGGCTCGAGGTATAAAATATCAGAACCGTCGATCCCCATGCAGGGGCCCAGGTCGTCGCGCGAGAAAGAGGCGTGTCCCTTACTAGAGGAGGCATGACACTTTCCCCATCCTCTGTCGTTGGGGCTCGAGCCGTGCATGGCTCGGCTGACTCGGCGTAGCCTGTGCGTTGAGTGGCCAGCACCGCGAGAATGGCTGCGACTACGGCCAGGTCCGCCCATGTTCGGGCTGTATTTTCCAGGTTTACCTGAAACGCCTGCTACGTGGTAGGCCGTTGAGCCGCGGCCCCGGCGACCGCTTCCTCTGTTGCCTTTGAAAGGTTCGGCAAGGCCGATTGGGGCATTGCCCGACATGCCCCGTATCATGAATGTGTCGGTGTGGGTCGGGACCCGCCGCAGCCCGCCCCTCCGCCCAGAGTCCGAAGACTGCCGGGGCTGGGAGCGGACGTCGGCGACTCTGCTCGTGTCGAGATGTTCAACTATTTCAGTGTCGATGGCAGGTATGGTCTCCGCAGCAGAAATGCACTCGTCCTCGTCGTCATATTCAGACTCTTCCTGCTCGTGTCCGCGCCAGCGCGTGCCGACCCAATCCACGATGGGGGCGTCGTAGAGCTCTTCGACCCCGTCGCGGGGGCACTCCGCGCGCCGCTCTACAGACATGACGCGTTGGCAAAGCGGGCCATCAAAAACCAAGATGAACTATTTTGAGATTCAAAGGGGTGGCCGAATTCGGGGAAATCAGCGCATTCAATGATATCCGTTTCGGAGTGCTCTGAGCCAAGAAATACGGATCTCACCCCCCCTGTCCACCTCCCTTGGAACGCTGCGCTTGGATGATGTGCTTGTCGCTCCCGCAAGTATTGCATGTCACTCCCCGTATTTTTTCGCTTCATTGAGCCTGCGCCCCTTGTCCTTACTGCCTCTGCCTCTGCCTCCTAGGAACAGGTCTTCAACCTCGTAGTCTGTCAATCGAGCCAAGAATGCGGTTATGCTTGCGCTATGCAATCTGCGGGCGCGCCGACCACCTCCGCCGCGACCTTCCCTTTTCGGGGGAAGACGCGACGCGCAGCTCGCCTGGGCCCCCTAACTGGCTTCTTCATATCTCGCCTCAACTTTCTTTTGGCGCGATGATATTCTAAGCATAGGCGTTGCGTTGCTGCGTCACCCCCGGCGGGCAGGTCTGACCAGTTGAGGTTTTCGACGCCGGTAGAGGAGACCGCATCGGCATCCGTGCCGGAGTCGAATGCATCGCCGGGCTGGGCGAGCCCCTGAGGGCAGTCGCTTCAGGCGGTGTGTAGCTGGCCTCTGACGGCCAGCCAATGTTTGAGGCAGACGCCTGTTCGCTGTGATTGTTGGCGTCTTGGCCTGGAAGCGCAGTGGACTCAGCGGCCCCCCTGCCATTCCAGATGCAATTCGGCATGGCTGCCGCTCCCGATGTTGCCTGGAGAACGCTCGGCCAAGTGTCCATGGCTGCGCATTCGCTCCAGGAGTTGGTCGCGCTATTGTTGTGCGCGGGACATCTGATGGTTCAGCGGCTGCAGCAGCTGCGCCGCTCGGGAGGTACCACCCCCCAAGGCGCGAAATAAGATCAGAGCACGGATCTGGAATGTGGGAATGTTAAAGCCTGCTGAATCTGCTTCCAGCCCGGTCATCTCGAATCGGGCTAGTACTGTGTCAATTCGCTCGCCTATCTCGACGCGGAAGTCGATGAGGGCTGTCCCCGAGGTGACCTGTCGCTCGTCCTCAAGGCTTTCATTGTTTTACGTAATAACGTAATAAGTGCATGATGTATGTGACTCCGTCGGTGCGTCCCCCCTGTAACGTGACACCATAATTGGTGATGGTAGATGGCACCCGCATGGCTAGTGCCATGGCCAATCCTCCTATATCGCGCTGTAAGGCGGCGGCCCGTCAAGGTGGTGTCATGCTCCTGCTTGCGACGTTAAGCCATGCGTGTACTTCGCGAACAAAGTCGCGAAAGGGTGCGTTGCTTGTGGGGCCCAGCAGGGACCTCGAGCGCGCGTTACATCCAGCCCCCCTTCCTCGCATGCATGCCACGGCAAAGCCCAGACATACCCAGCTAATTCCACATGTGGCGACCTTACCATAATGAACGTTCATGTTGTAGCTGGTGGTGTTAAGTTGCTTATCATGAAATATTGTCGCGCCCATTGGGTTGCGACTGGATGTCTGGTCTGACGTGGCCGCCAGCCTGCGGATAGGCATTGGCGTTTGACTTGTGCGCGGCGTGTGGCCACGCGGTGGGAGGATGGAGGTATTGGACTGTATCAATTGGTTCCAGAATATTGGGAGTGTAGTGGCTGAAAGCAGGCGTAGTCGGGTATTCCACTGTGCCGTGGTAAGTTGTCTTGTACAGAACACCTGATGTAAGAGCCACCCACATGAAGATGTAGCCAACTCCCCTATCAAGTGAAAAGTAAAGGTGCAGGGCTTGACCATGAACTACTAAGCTGAGGGCCCTACTCTTAAGATAACGTCGGCGACGTATCGAGGCACCCCACAATTAATCCCTGGATTGCAAGCAAAAAGGAAAGGTAAGAGAGAAATCATGTGATAGAGGGGCGGCTCATAAATAGATGTGGCCTTTGGCCCGGTGCTATGATCCTAATAAATCGCACGTGGACGTGTAGCGAGCAAATAGGACAGCGCTGCCTTGAACCAAGACAGCGTCGGATATTGCGTTCGCTATGCAGCCCCTCCTTAAACCTCGTTGAAAGTAGAGAGGCTCACGAAGGCCCCCAAACCCACCATCCTGTGGTGTTGGGTCCTCGATTTGAAGAAACAGCGCCCCGCGTCGCCTCTCCCCCTCCTCCTCCTCCTCCTCCTCCTCCTCCTCCTCCTCCTCCTCCTCCTCCTCTTCCTCCTCCTCCTCCTCCTCCTCCTCCTCCTCCTCCTCCTCCTCCCTCCTCCCATCCGCCTCGTCACCTCCCTGCGTTTCACCCACCCAGAACAACGTTTGGTGGCCCCAGAGGGAGCTCCACCGAAGGCTCCAGTGGCAGGGTCCGCATGCGTCACCGCCACCCAGGACCACGTTTCGTGGGCCCATAGGGAGCTCCACCGAAGGCTCCAGTGGCAGGGCCTGCGTGCGCTATCTCAAACCAAGATGGCGTTTCGTGGCCCCATAGGGAGCTCCACCGAAGGCTCCGGTGGCAGGGTCCGCATGCGTCACCGCCACCCAGGACAGCGCTTCATGGCCTCACAGGGAGCTCCGCCGAAGGCTCCAGTGGCAGGGTCCGCATGCGTCACCGCCACCCAGGACAGCGCTTCATGGCCCCATAGGGAGCTCCACCGAGCGCCCCAGTGGCAGGGTCCGCATGCGTCACCGCCACCCAGGACAGCGCTTCGTGGCCCCACAGGGAGCTCCACCGAAGGCTCCAGTGGCAGGGCCCGCATGCGTCACCGCCACCCAGGGCAGCGCTTCGTGGCCCCATAGGGAGCTCCACCGAAGGCTCCAGTGGCCGGGTCCGCATGCGTCACCGCCACCCAGGACATCGCTCCGTGGTCACATAGGTAGGGAGCTCCACTGGAGGCTCCAGTGGCAGGGTCCACGTGCGTCACCGCCACCCAAGACAGCGTTTCGTGGCTTGGACCGCAGGACACCACCAAAAGCAGGTATGCTGAAAATGCACGTTCTCCGAAAGAAATGTGAAGATTTGTCGTTCGTTGGGGCCCCCTTGGGGGCTTCTTGGAGCTCTCTGGGACTGTCTTGGAGCCGTCTTGGGGTGTCTTGGGGCCTCGTCGACCGTCTTGGAGTCCCGTGGGGACCTCATGGGAACGTATTGGGGCCTCCGGGGACTCCCTCAGCCTGTCGTGGTCCGTTTCCGAGCGGGCCGGGGTCGTCTCGGGAGCACTGGAGGACCGTCGAAAGAGGTATAGGGGGGGGGCCATCCAGGGGGGATTCTCCCTTACAGGATGTATAAAATATAGGAATTGTTATGTGTGTAACGGCATCCACTGTGTCTACAGACGCTTGTGGCTAGAAAGTGATAACGGCATTTGGCATAGGCCCCATGTGTAAGTCTTCTAGAGGCAGGAAGACTTTGCCCTCCACAGGCAGCCCGCCGCCTCGCGGGCTGCCGCCGCGGCCGTCTCGGTGACATCGTTGTCGGCGCGGGTCCAGCTCTTGTTGAGAAGGCTCTCCGAATATACGCGGGCGTTGGGTTCCCCGGTGGTGCTGTCGGGGGCGGGGGCCGGGGGCTGCGCGGCACCGCTTGTCGGCCGCTGCTCTCCTCGAGGTGGGGGGAGCGAGATTGAGGAGAAGACAAACCCAAATGAAAGAACGAATCGAGCTCGGTGAGTGGACCCGTGAACGGCACATCCCCGGACCGCGAGGGAGAAAACCGAACGCTGAGGCAGGAAAACCCATAATCGACTGTTATCGACATGAACGGGATCGGCGGACAGAGTCGGAAGAAGTCGAATCGGCGGAAACAGACAGGCTAGTAAAGCTTCCACCGAGAAACCGAAATCCAAATCGGAATTCGAGGTCGAACTAAATCGGAATCGGGGTCGGAATCGATCGACATCGAATCGAATCGAGTCGGAGGAACCGAAGTGAGCCCTGTGAGAGAGCCTACGATCCAGAGAAGCGCAGTGAGCACCTCTCCCCTCCGGGGAGCACGCGGGCGGGGGCCCATGGGCCTGCAACAGGCGCACTCCAGAAAGTCCGGTGGGGGCCAGGGGCCGCCAGGACGCCGCTCCAGCTGCGCCGCGCGACGGACCAAACGCGGCGCCCCGCGCCGGGCCAGGCTCCTCGCACCCGGGCTTTTCGGCTACACGCAAGAATGACCCAAGGCAAGAGTGGGTGACCTTTGGTGTACCGCTTTCGGGGGGCGCGAGGGACCAAACCTGGGCGAGCAAGCCGCTGCTATCGCGTCACTTTCGGCCATCTGGGGTTCCCAGTGTGCCCGCACCAAAGGTCACCCCAGCGAAAGGTCGCTCCCACGCGAAGCCGAGCCTTGGCGAGCAGGTCACCGGCGGCTCTCTGGCGCCTCAGCTCGACGCGCTCACCCACTCCCCCCCGCTCGTAGGCCTCGGAGCCGGACGCAGGAGCCCCGCCGCCCTGCCACGCGGAACTCCCGGAAGCACAAGGGGCGGGCACGGGGATGAGAGGCGAGCGCCTGGGCAAGGCCTGGAGGCCTCCGACGCCCCGAGGTCGCCGTGGGGCTCCAGAGCTCTCGGGCCCTCAACGCTCGACCGTGTTTCTGGTTTCCGTGCCGTGGGCCGTGGCCGACGGACGGCGACATGCCAACCCTACCCCCACCAACCATCGATTCTCCTGAAAATCGATGGGGGGCGGGGGCAGGGTTCGGATTTCGCCACGATCTCGACAAACTCCGAACCCGACCCGCGCCGACCATCGAGATGCCTGAATCGTTAATCGGCGAGGGTCGGGCTCGGATTTCGCGGCAAAGTGGTGGAGCCGGCCGGCATCCAGAAGCCCCAGATCAGCAGGTGCGATCTCTCCTTGCCGCTCTCCAGCGCCGTGCTGCGCGGAAAAGTGGCGCCCTCCTGGCCACCTTCCTGCGCGCTGCCGAACAAAAAGATCAACCACCACGAAAAAGCCTGCACCAGTGGCACTGCGTGCATATTTCTGGCACTCTCCTGCGCCATCCCACTCGAAAGTGGCGCCCTCCTGCCACCCACCCAGCGCGCGCGCGCTGCCACAGTAACTACATCAGTAATCGCGCACATACCAGTATGAGTGGCGCTGGGCTCTGGTCAGATGTACCCCCCAGGACACACCAGGCGGCTCGACGCTGGTATCTTCGGCCGCCCGGGCTCCGAACACGAAGCCCTGGAGTTCCCGGCGGAGGACAGCGGCGGCGTAGTCCTCGGCCTGGGTGCAGCGGGCGCCCTCTCTTTGCCGAGGGGGTGATGATGATGGTGGCGGTGGCAGTGATGATGGTGCTGGTGATGCTGATGGTGGTATGAGGATGGCGGTATGATGATGATGATGCTGATGGTGATGGTGGTGCTTAAGCTGGTGAACATGATGATGATGGTTCCGAATTGTGATCTCTGCCTCGTTATCAGGCGTGCCTGATGGAGAACATCACAGTCAACTCAACACGGCATCTGAGCATTACCACTGCCCATGCGAAGTGGCTTTCGGGAAACACGTCAAGAAACGAATGCGACAAAAGAACAAAAGAGGGGAGGGACAGACACGCAGGGTACGCACTGACTATTTGGCAGTAGGCAGCTTTTGGAGTCATCACAAGACGAACGCGAACGGTACGAGCGGCGACAACTTCATACTTGGCTCACGGGGGCCACTTAACATAATAACTAGCCGCTTGCCTCGTCGTTAGAAGGGGCACGGGGACTACATCATCTCACTCAGTGGACCCGTCCTACTTCCCCTTTCGCTTCCTCGACGGCCTGGTTGCCGGCTTCTCGTTACCGGGTGGTCCATCGCAGCCCTCATCCTCGCCCAGCGCCTGCTGAGGGGTGAAGATCTCCTGTATCATATCATGCTCTTTCTGGTTGTTGGCCTCAACACAAGCACAGAACCTGCCGATACCTTCATCCAACACCCGGCGAAAACATTGAAATTCAAGCGTCATGCTTTCACGCGGGCCCGTGCAACCTCTTGGAACCGCATCGCGTGCTTATCGTTCAGCGCCTCCACAGCCAAGTCCAGGCACTTATCCATCTCCTCCTGCGTCATCATCACCTGCCCGACGGTGGGGTCGAACTTTGTCTCCTCCTGCACCGTATCTTTCAAAGTGTTTTGCAGCTCTGCCACCAAACCCTCAAGCCTTTCCTCCTCATGCGCCTTATCCTCGAAAGCCAGAACCATGTCGTTCAGATTCTCCTGGAAGTCGTTCGCAAGCACCTCCAAGACCTTTTTTGTTACTATTGTCCGTGACCTTGGGAACATTGCTGATTGTCTCGACGATCTGCACTGGGGGCTCGGCGTACAAGCTGGTCGTGCTCAACATCAAACCATGTTGCATGAGGACGATCTTTGTCCGCTACACACCTTATGCCAATCGAATCACATATGCGCGCCCCGCGCGGGCTCCTCCCATGGGGCTGATCCGCAAAGTGTCTGGCAGGGGCCTGTAGCCTTCTCTTGGTGTTGTGCTCACACGGGCAGAAACCATTGTGCGTAAGTGGCCGTCTGATGCTGCTGATGATGATGACGGCGATGACGTTGATGATGTTGATGGTGGTGGCGGTGATGGTGATGACGATGAGGAGGATGCTGCTGCTGATGATGGTGATGGTGCTGGTGACGCGAATCGTGCTGGTACTGGTGACGGTGATGATGGTGCATGCGCTGTTGCGGGTGATGAAGATGATGGTGCTGATGGCGAATGTGATGGTTGTGATGACGACGCCGACGACGATGCTGCTGATGATGGTGATGGTGCTGGTGATGCTAATCGTGCTGGTACTGATGACGGCGATGATGGTGCATGCGCTGTTGCGGGTGATGAAGATGATGGGTGCTGATGGCATTTGTGATGGTTGTGATGACGATGCCGACGACGATGATGGTGATGATGGTGATGGCGATTGTGGTGACCATGCTGAAAATGATGGTGGTGAGGCGTCCGCGACTAGGCGGACCTTACGGGTGGCGCACATAGAGTGAAAACTGCAACCGCATGTACGCTAGGAGAAGGAATTCTAGAAAACATGCGGGTCCAAGGGAAGCTTGTGGCACTGAGCGGCACGCACGTGCGACGGTCTGCTGCCGCGGGGCTCCAGGTGGCCCTCCTCTGCTCGGGGCGCACGGCCGTCGCGGGCAAGCTGGCCCCACTTCCCCTCGGCCCTCTGCGTGGCCTCGGCACCGCGGGAGCTACGTCGTGGCCCCCAAGCAAACGTCGACGAAAACGGAGCACGGCGGCGCGCCCTCTTTGGCGCACCGCAGGAGCCACGCGCCGACTGTATGGTCGTCGAAGGGGTACTCTTCATCTTTGGCGCACAAGCCCATCACGCTGCCGCCGTCACCGCCAATGAGCTCGGAGAGGCACGTGAAGCCATCGTGGAAGTAATGCGGCGTCTGGCTCTGACCTCGCACCTTGGACACGCACGTGCCATCCTCGCTCACCACCGGCAGTTGCAAGGCTGAATGCAAGAAGCGGCGGCACCACTGCTATCCACGGGCCACTGCATTCGCCGCGCGCCTGTTGCGGCGCCTTCGCGCGTCTCTGCGCGCGTTGCCTGGGGTTGTCTGTGCGGCCCCCACCGCGCTTTGACCGTCAGTATGCCGCCGTTACTCTTCTCCGTCGCGTAGGCGTGCTGGGGACTACCCTGGTTCTCCGCGGTGTTCTGCTGGTTGCCAAGGGCCCCCCAGCGTGTACCCTTCCGTGGAGCTCAACTGGCCGTCCTTAGTGCCCACCTTTGCCTCGACCTTCTCGGAGCTCGGCCGTGGCCGCCGGTCCCCTGGGTGTCGTCGTCGCGCTGCAGCTGCTTGACGTATCACGACTGGCCCTCCATTCCGACGACCTCGCGCTCGTGGTCCTCGAGGTCGGCGAACGGGTCGTGGTCTTCCTGGCCCAAGCTGCGTGCTGGCGGGGAAAGGACACCCCTCTGAATCCCTTCAGACAGCGCCTGTCTACTTAGAGTCTGGCCCAGGACGCGTCCCTTGGCGGCGTGCCCAGGGGGTGGGTGCACCTGGTCGCGCCCCACCGAACAGGTCCACGACGCGTCCCTTGGCGGCGTGACTTGGTGCCTGGGTGGGTGGGTGGGTGCCCCTGAGTTACCTCCGAACAGGTCCAGGACGCGTTCCTTGGCGCCGCGTCTTTCTGCGAGACGTCCGAGCCGCAAGCCAGGAAGGGGAAGGCGGGGACCTCCGCGCCTCCGCGAGCGAGGCTATCTCGTGCTGCTCGCACAGAACCATCTCGAGCTCCTCGATCTGCTTTCGCTGCTCGTCCACCCTGTTGGCGAGGTCGCGTATCTCGTTCTTCGCCAGCACGATCCCCTCCTTCGAGTCACTGTGTTTCTGCATCTCGTGTTGCAGCTGCTGGTCGAGCTGCTCCTTCTTCCTGCGCAGCTCCTCATGCTGCGCCTCTCGGGTGCTGGCGGCGCCACTCTCCAGGTCGCCGCTGCCGCGTGCCTCCGCCTGCCGCCCGCCCTCCAGCTCGGCGCCGTCAACTGCTAGCCAGAACTCTGGCTTGGCGACGACGGCCTCCGCCGCACGGGGGTGGCGCCTGAAGCCGCTGGCCGCGTCCACCGCGCGGCAGCTTCGCTCGAGGGCCGACGGCAGGCGCCGCCCTTGGGCGCGGAGCTCGGTGATGCCCGTAGCAAGCGTGGGGGCGCCCAGCATTGCCACCAGCCCGGCCGCCGCCCCTATCAGCTCCTGCGCGCGCTGGCCGAGAGCGGGGCGGGCAGGAGCGGCCGCCTCGGCCAGCGAAGACGCTGCTGCAGGCTCCACCTCCACCACCGGGGCGCGTGGCGTGCAGGTGCAGCAGGACCTCGGCGGTTTCGCCCACGGTCGCCCTCGTGACGAGCGCTGCGCCATGCCAGACTGACAGGCCGCCGCGCCCGCCGCGCCCCATCATGGGCCTCCGCGCGCTCGACGGCGGCGCGGCCACGGCGCTCGCAAGAGCGCCTCCGCTAGAGCCAGCATGCTACGGACGCCACGAGAGGGAAGGGGCACGCTGAGGGGGAAGAGGAGGGATGGGGAACTGGCGGATGACGATCATGATGATTGTGGTGATGATGATGATGATGATGATGAGGAGGAGGAGGAGGAGGAGGAGGAGGAGGAGGAGGAGGAGTAGGGCTCTGGAAGGGGAGGCAGATGGAGAATGGGGAGGAATGGGGGATGGGGAATGGCAGGGTGGAGAAGCAGTATGGGGAGAGGAGGGGGTAAGGGAAGTTACCTGGGGGGATGAAACTGGCGATGAGGATCAAAAGGGGAGACGGAACGGAAGTGGCCAGTGAAGGGAAGCGCACGGCCTGGCAGGCGTTGCGCAAGCGTGAAATACCAAAACAGCCGAATAAAGAACGCGAGACACTTCTAGACAGGCTCATCATAAAACCCCTCGCCGCCCAGGCCCCACTGCCAGCCCAAGCGGCAGGCGGAGGCGACAAGGGAAGGGAAGGCGGCGCGGAGGCCAATTGGTGGGGGGGGAGGGCGAGGACGAAACGGCGAGGAGGCGACCAAGCGGGCGCACGTGCACGCGCCGCGGACCAGGAGGTGACCGAGCTGAAGCAAGTCATCAAGACACAGAGCTATATTGCGCGACAGTGAAGACTTTTTTTTTTGGGGGGGGGGGGAGGGAGAAGATGGGAGCGGGCCGCATGATTCAAGAACCACCGTCGTAACGTGAAGACTTGATGAACCAGCTCACCATGCATGTCAGAATTGAGGACGGCAACTGCTTCCTCAAAATAGGCATCAAAGACTTCTGCATGAGTGAGCGACACGGTTCTAATTTTTCAGTCGTCCAAAGGAGCGCCGAATGGGTCTAAGAGAACTGCCTTTTGCAAGGTGCTTGGCGCCATTTGGAGACATCGAATTATCAAAACCGACGGTGTGGACCAAGCCTGGACCGTGGTGGTTGGCACAAGAATGAGTCTACTTTGTTCCGGAGAAGTGTACGAAAAGGCGTAAACATTCCTTGTCGAGGAACAAGCCATGATGAACCTGAGCTCCAAAGCGAGGTTCGACGTCGAACTCTGGAGCGATTTCAAAAACGACATGTTCCGCATAGTCAGCCGTCAGTCCGAACAGCGGACTGAAAGGCTAAGACAGATCCTGTGCATGAAAAGCCACGATTTAAAATCAGAATTGGAGATTTTTCGAAACTTAAATTGTAATGCTTGACCGTGTACCTTGCAAAGGGGCCCGGTGGCAGCGTAATGTTTGTTTGGACTTTCGGGTCCATCAGAAGAGCAGCAATTTGCACACACACGCACACACACCTCTTGTCTCTACAAGCGCACGGCGCATGTGCACATCGCTTGGCCTAGATCAATGTCCCGACGTTTCGAAGGACTACAGTATGCGCGAAGCGGGAAACCGCACACTTGTCGCCATTTTGACCGACAGTGCATGCCCTATAAAAGGCATCTCATTGCAAGAGCTCGGATGCAAGCCCATAGTTCCTCGAAACAACAGCTGTATAGCTTCGCACACGGTCCTTCCATACTTCAGCAAATGAGAATCAGCAAGATTCCAGAGGGCTCTTCGCCAGTGCGGTGAGCTTTCCTCCCAGGTCCATGTCTTCCAGGCTGGGAGGGAGACATCTCCCCCTCAGAAAACAAGCTGTCAACAGCATGATTGGCAAATCGGCTGCCTGTATTTTTGACTTGGGCGACGAATCTTGAATGACTGGTTGGTTGGGTTAGGCAAGAAGCGAATCTGTCGAACAACGGCAGAAGCTGAAACGCAGCGTCTGGGCACCAACGGGTGCTGAAACGTTACGCTTGGGGACCGACAGTAGACAGTACACTCCGTGGCTACGGTGGCTCAGACCGCTTAGCGAGCAAGGGCACTGGGCACGTTCGTAAGTGCTTTCGGGCCAATTGTCGTCGCAAGGCCTTGCCCTTGGAGAAGCAATCCTTCTTCAATGCTCCACAGCGAAAACAACGCTTCCTGGTCCTCACGACGCCGTTCACAAACGCGGTGAAGAACTCCCTGGAGGACGGCACCGCGGAAGACATCATCACCGGCAAAATGACCGACAGCGACCTGCAGAATCTCGACCAGTTTGGTACGCAGGCGGCAGCAGCCACGGCAGAACCCGACGCATTAACAAAAAAGTTGGCCAAACACGCGGCCCAAATCAAGACAACAAATGATAGGTCTTATGCCAAACCACAATTACGAAACATTTCCCATTAACGATCGCATCTCTGCCAACGCCACAAGTAACACACACACACGAACACATACCGCCTCCAGGGCACCCACGTCTGTGCGAGGTACAAGCGAGGAGTCCCGAAGGATCCTTCGGTGCTAAAGGGAACGCACAAATGGTCCAACGAACCGTCGTTAAAAAGAATACTTGCGTACAACGGAGCACCACAACGGCCCACGGCGACAGAAACTCACGAGTATAACAAAAAATGGCCGAACGAAAACGGGGGCTGCCAGTCCAGTACAAAACAGACAATGGAAAATCACAACCAACGCCAAACACGCAACCAGCCGCAAAACTAATCATCCGCCGCCTTGTGGGCTCCGCGCGGTGACCCCTGCTTAGTGATGTTGACCAAGTAAGAAAATTCCTTACGGCAACTGTGGGTTCCCAGGCCGAGTATTGAGCCACCTCACCATGTATAGTGCACATTTGGACAACCACGTGACCGCCAGAACGGGTAAACCAGGCCACTCCCGATATGGGATGTGCGCCCGCGTGGCCGCATTCACAAGATCGTGAATTCACACATCTCCTTGGTGCCAATCATCCGTTCAAAGCCCCTGACGGTGACCCTGGGTTTCCAAGCCCATCATGGAACAAACCCCCATTGTGCATTAATCACCTGACTTAGCAGGTGACCGCAAAATCGGGTGACCCGCCCGGTAATGTGATATTCGCCTAGGCATCGTTGCAATCTTAGTCATGCTCCAAAATACAACAAGTAAAGACAGCAAAAGACAACACTTTAGGTTCCTGGACTCAACATGGTGCCAACTCGCAATGAATACCTGAGAAAACAGATGACCGCAACACCCGGTGACATGGGTTACGCAGATCACCCACCACCGTAAAGGCACGGCCAAGAGAGCAAAATAAACAAACGCCATACGCAACAAACAAACAACACAAACGATATTACGGACACAATGCGAAGAAACAGAAACGACACGAAACATGACACATGGTGCTACCGGAACGGAAGCGAAACGGTCAACTTAGAAAGGCAACCAAGACACAACAAGTAAACGGGCGACTACAAACGTGGTTAACAAAACGCGGTTGAAACACATGTCTCAATCGAATGCGATACAACAACTATATTGAACCAACGAGCAAACACATACGTACGCAAAACCACTGAATACGGAACGACTAGAAAAATAAATGCAGGCATTTAGCGAAAAAGCGCTGGACCCTGAGAAACACTGCAGCGGCTCGGCCGCACCCGGGAAGATCTCGTCCAGGCATGCAGAGAACTGCACCATTCTGGGCGGCTGGTCAAGCGCGTCTTGTCTGCCTCGCCCCCATGCCCGTGAGTCATCGGTGCATGCGGCGTCTCCAGACAGCACAGGCCTCTGCACACGGCGCTCGCACGAGCAGCGTGCAGGCACCACGAGACGAAGGCTGGGCTCAGCATGCGAACCCAAACGCTGCAACCCTGCTGGCGGCATGACCCACCAAGGCGGCCCTCACTAAGACAAGCGCAATCGATTTTTGTCGGCGATTGGAAACACATCGTTCCGCCGCGCGGTCGTCTCGCTCCCCAACATCCTCCTGGCGCTGGCAGTGGACCATTACTGTGGACCCGCCGGGGGAGGCACTGGCAAAGACAAAACCCCGAACGAAAGGATGGACTTGGGCCACCAAAGCTGTTCATTACGGAGCAGTAAGACCAAGAGAACCAATAGGCGGACGAAGACGGGACGATGACACGGAGGAGGACCAGAAGGAAGAGCAGCACAACGAACGATGACGAGGAGGAATAGGGATAAAAAGTGAAGGCCAGCCTGATGCTGCAAAGTGGTCCACATGAGCCCGTCGAGGGAGCCCCTAAACTTCCACCGCACGGGATCGCGGTCGCTCACGTTCCCCGTGACGAACCCGAAGCCGTCCACGCTGGTGGGCTCGGAGAGCTTGATGGTGATAGGCTCCAACTTCATGTCGACCCAGACCGAGCTGAGGTCGCCGTCAACAAGAAGGATGCCATCGGTGGCCCCCGAGGGGGTGCTCACGGTGGCCCCCGACGTGCTGACCTGCCAGCCGTTGTTCGCGAGCACGATCTCGGCAATCTCGACGACCGGCTCGCGGCCGCGCACCTTGAGCGGCTCGAACTGGTAGTACAGGAAGGCCGTGTCCTCAGGCCTGTCCCTGGGTGCGGAATGGTTATGCGGCAGCACGTATACCCAGCCTTCCAAGGGCGGTGGGCTCGGCGTGGGCGCCCGCGACGCCGGCGGCATCTCCTGTGGCGACAGGACGCACTCCTCGCTGGTCCACATGGCAGCCGCGTCGAGCCCTGGGCAGCCCGCGCCCATCCCCAGGCCCTGGTGGATGAGCGCCTTCGCGGCAGCGGGAGCAGCAGCAGCAGGAGCGGGAAGACGACGATGAGAACGACGAGCCCAACGCGGGGCGTGGAGAGGGCGGACCCTGGCCTCCCCGTGTCGTGAAGAAATCACGACGGATTTTTAGTCGGCCATTTGTGGCCTCCAGGGGTCCTCGCTGGGCCCCGATCCTCAAAAAAGACAGCTCGGCATGAAAATCGTGGAGGGGTCCAGACCTCAGGCGGTCGACGCTGGCACAGAAATCACGACGGTGGAGTTCTGAGGATGACGAGGAGGGTGCAGAGTACGTGGGTGAGCAGACTCGTCCTTCTGGCGACCCCGGCCTTCGAGCAGAGCTCCATCCCCTTTGCCTTGCAGGCGGCCTTGGCCTCCGCCCAGCTCGCGTTGGACCTGCAGCCCGGGCGCGTGGCGGTGCGCGTGTAGGCGCTGCAGCACGTCAGGCCAGCCGCTCCAAAGTCGGGGCGGCACTCGTCGGACTCCGCGGACGAAGACACCTTGACCACCACGTGGCCTTTCGTTGGCGCAGCGGTCGCGTTGTCCTCCTCGGCGCCCACATCCGCCTCGGAGTCCGCTGGGGCCGATGCGTTGGCCGAATCGTTGACTGCTGGGGCCGCGGCATTGGCCGCGGGGTGGGGGGCATGTCGCCCCCGAGGCATTGACCGCTGGGCCAAAGGCATGTCGCCGCCTGTCCGGGCACCTGTCGGTGCATCCGTCGGCGAGGGCGTCGCTAATGCCACCGGAGCTGGCGCTGATGCATTGCTGTCTGTCGGCGAAGGCGTCGCTGAGGCCGTCGGGGCTGACGTCGACGCACTGTCATTGGCAGCACTGGCGTTGACGTTGACATTGGCAACGGGCGTCGGCGCTGGCGCTGATGCATTGCTGTCTGTCGGCGAAGGCGTCGCTGAGGCCGTCGGGGCTGGCGTTGACGCATTGTCATTGGCAGCGCTGACGTTGACGCTGACATTGGCAACGGGCGTCGGCGCTGGTGCTGATGCATTGCTGTCTGTCGGCGAAGGCGTCGCTGAGGCCGTCGGGGCTGGCGTTGACGCATTGTCATTGGCAGCGCTGACGTTGACGCTGACATTGGCAACGGGCGTCGGCGCTGGCGCTGATGCATTGCTGTCTGTCGGCGAAGGCGTCGCTGAGGCCGTCGGGGCTGGCGTTGACGCAATGTCATTGGCAGCGCTGACATTGACGCTGACATTGACGCTGACGTTGTCACCAGCGACAGAGCTGCCATCGACGCTGATGTTGGTGCTCGCGTCGGCATTATCCACCCCTGCCGGACGCATGAAAACTTATACACCTTTTGCCCAACCATCCTGTGGTGTTGGGTCCTCGTTTTGGCGAGACAGCGCCCCGCGTTTCACTCCTCGCTCCTCGCTCCTCCTGTTCCTCCCTCCTCCCATTTCCCCCCTCCCCTCCACGTTTCGTGGCACTATTTGGAGCCCCGCCTCAGGTCCCAGTGGCGCCGTCCGCATGGCGGCGCCACCCCCCATGTCGGCACACCCCTCACACACTTCGGGGCCCCATAAGGAGCTCCACCTAATGTCCCAATGGCGCCGTCTGCATGGCGGCGCCGCCCAATCTCGGCACACACACACACACACACACCTCACACGCCCTGTGGCCCCATAGGGAGCTCCACCTAAGGTCCCTGTGGCGCCGTCAGCATGGCGGCGCCGCCCCATTTTGGCACACCCCTCGCACGTTTCGTGGCCCCATAGGGAGCTCCACCTGGTCCCAGTGGCGCCGTCCGCATGGCGGCGTCGCCCCATGTCGGCACACCCCTCACACGCTTCGGGGCCCCACAGGGAGCTCCGCCTAAGGTCCCAACGGCGCCGTCCGCATGTCGGCGCCACCCCATGTCGGCACACCCCTCACACGTTCCGTGGCCCCATCGGGAGCTCCACCAAAGGTCCCAGCGGCGCCGTCCGCACGGCGGCGCCGCCCCATTTTGGCACACCCCTCACACGCTTCGTGGCCCCATAGGGAACTCCACCTCCGGTCCCGGCGGCGCCGTCGGCATGGCGGCGCCTCCCCATTTCGGCACACCCCTCGCACGCTTCGTGGCCCCATAGGTAGCCCCACCCAAGTTCCCAGCGGCGCCGTCCGCACGGCGGTGGCGCCGCCAAATTTCGGCACACCCTTCACAAGCTTCGTGGCCCCAGAAGGAATGAATGAATGAAGCCGCGTGTCCGTAGGCACATGAGCAATGGCACGAGCGTGCGCTAGACTGTATACTTGCGCACCGTTGCTTTCCAGGCTTCCGCTGGGAAAACGCCCGAATCTGAAAGTTCCAACCACAAATACGGCAAATCTGCTCAGCATGCTTAGACAATTCTATTGCCCACGCCTGCCGGGGCCTGCCCCTCTTCCGGCGGCCGGGCGCCTGCGCCAGCTCAGAAGATGAAGGCTGGAAGACAGCCATGCGGACAGGGTGGTCGTCGGCCTTGCGTGCGATTCCCCCGAACAGGATCAACTGCCGTCGCAGCAAGAGGTCGCTGAGCTTGCCGCGTCCGGCTCGCTGCAACGCCGCGGCGTTGGTGATTCGACTGACACAATTATGCCTGATGCCGAGGATTCTCCGCAGGCACCGCGCGTGAAAAGCATTCAATCTGGCCAGTTCGCGCTGACGTAACCAAAATGCGCGGAGGCTGCGCAGCAGCGTCGACTCGACGCACGCAAGGTATACGTTGATATTTCTCTTGGTTGACGTAGAAGAACGAGACCAATCACGCTGTAGAGAATCGAACTCTCACCTGGCTCGGCCGATCCGCTGGCTCAATTCTGCACCGACAGAACCACCAAATGTCAAGACGCTTCCCAGGTATATCATGCTCGTCTTCTGCGGGATTGGGTCGCCGTCAGGTTTAAGCATAGCATGGGCGTTGCACCTGGTGGCCATGAGCTCGAGCTTCCGCCAATTGTACTTCAAGCCAAAATGAGCTCCGGCGTCTGCGATGGCCTTCATGTACTCCTCTGCATCCGCAGCGCTGGAAGCCAGAATCAAGGCGTCGTCCGCGTATGCCAGGTCACTGACGCCCCCGGCCAGGTCACCGAGCGCGTTCTTCGCGTCCCAGAGGAGGACGGTCATCAAAATGGCGAATAAGAACGGCGACAGAGGACAGCCCTGGCAGATGCCCGCCCGCTGCTCTCGCAGCCCCGACGCCCTGCCCGCGTCGCGAACAGCGAAAAGCCGGTCAGAGTAGATCGCCCGGGCGATGTCCAGCATCTTGTCTGGTAGCCCGAGTCGGCGCAGGGCTGCTATGAGAGCGTCGGGCATGACGCTGTCGAAGGCCATGGCCCAATCCAACGCGAGGGGCACGAGCGGCTTGTCAGCCCGCGCGGATGCCTCCTCCAGTCTGCGCCTCACAATGAAGATCGCGTCATTTGTGTCGTGCTTTGACTTGAACCCGAACTGCGTCCGCCAGATCCTGTCTTCCGCCCCATGCCCTCTTCAAGCGGCGCAAGAGCATTGCTGCGAAAAGTTTGCAACCGGCCTGCAGCAAGCAGATGGGCCGGTAGTTCTCGCGCAGGGAAGGGTCGCCCGTCTTAAAGATGGTGGTTACCTGCGACTCGTGCCTGCTTTCTGGGATGTTCCCGTCTTCCCAGCATTTCTGGCATAGCGCGGTGGCCCAAGCTTGCGCCGGCGAGTCCGGGCGACATATTGCCTTCCAAAAATCTCCAGAAACTTGGTCTGATCCGTAAGCTCTGCCCCGTCTCATCGCCTTTGCTGCCTCGGACTTAACAGTCTTAACTGGGCCCGACTTCCACGGGGAGCGAGGGCCCCAGCATGTTTGCCTCCATAGGCGTTGTGTCTCGCGCCGCCAACTGCACGCTGCTGAGGTAATCAGCCATTGTATCTTGACGGGAATCTGAATCAATATGCTTGCCATGCATGTCTCGCACCCGCCCTTGCCTAGGCGCAAACCCCTTCCGTAATTTGCGAATTTGCCCCCAGTCTCCAGTGGCGAGAAGACGTTCCAACCACTCTGCGCGGTCTCTCTTCACAGACGCCTTCACTTGCTGATTCAACCGTCTCTCTGTGTCCGCGTCCCTGCGGTGCCCGGCATCTGCGCGTGTTTTGATGGCGTCCATTGCGCGGTCAGAGACCCACGGCCTCCGCGGCGCAGCCGTCCGGGCAGGGGTCGCCGTCGCAGCCGTGGAGAACGACTCTTTCATGAGAGCGTCAATGTTGGACGCCGTCGATAGCGGCATGCTGCTTTCCGGCTCCTCTGCGCGATCGGCGAACGCAGCGGCAAACCGGTTAGATGTCCCAGGGGGGCGGAGGGCGCGCAGGTCGCGTCGGGGAGTTGGCTGTTGTCGCGACTCCTTTGGGGCCTGCACGTCTAGATCTGCGTAGACCAGAGAATGGTGCGACGCCAAAGCACGCCGCCGGTCACTTGTAATGTCTCTCAGACTGCCCAGCCAATCCTTTGACATCAACAAAAAATCGATCTGCCCAAAATTATCTGGCGCGGGGGCGTCAGACGGCTTCTTCCCAACGTCATAACGCGTGATCCGCGGGTCCGCTGGTTGATCGAAGGCTGCGTTGCCAACGAACAGTTTGTGTCTGGCACAAAGCTCTGCTAGCAGACTCCGGTTGGAAGACGGATTCTATGCAGCCGCGGGGTTGCCGAACACATGGGCCCCATGATGCCCTCCTCCTGCGGGAAACGACGATGAAGCTGAGCATTGAAGTCTCCCAGGACCAAAAGTGGGCCATGCGAAGATACACCAGAAAAGAAAACACTGAGGTTGGTGTAGAAAGCCCGCCTGTCCTCGAAGAGTTTGCCGCTGTGCGGGGCATATGCGCTACAGACCACAACTTTGACACCAACCACCCGTGAATTCAAGTGCGCCATACGTGCTGCCTCCTGTCTGAATCCAACCACGCTGTGGCGAACATGAGGGGCAACTATGAAACCAACTCCGGCCGTCTCCTCCTGGTCGGCGTCGGCGGCGCCGGAGAAAACGGTGAGGAAACCTCCATCAGAAACATGATAATCGCAACCTGCCTTGTGCGTCTCCTGGATGGATACACCAAATGTCGATGTTGAGCTGAACCATGTGCCACTCCAGCTCCAGCTGCTTTGCGTCCGCGTAGCCCTCCACGTTCCAGGACGCCACCCGGAGCAGCCGAGAACAAGGACGAAGGGGGCCCCCGCGAAAACGAAGTGCTTCCTCAGCTCTGGTGGAATGTTTGGGAGCAGGGTAACGATAGGCAGCAGCATTGCCGGCTGCTGCGGGCAAGTGTTTGCAAGGGCGAATTCTCAACATCTCGTAGCTCATATTGGCAGTAGGGCCGACTACCGGTGAAACGGGTGAAACATTGCTCATGTACCTTACTTCCTAATGGGGCCCGCGCCCCTTGGCTCCTCCTTTTGCGCACCCTTTAAGACCTTGGGATGCACGCTGGAGGAGGTCGTCTGACTTCTTAGCGAGGTCCTTGATCAGCGGGTTGCCGTGTAGCTCGGACCTCGTGGCCCACTCGCCCTGCCACTCGTATTCCACACTGCTCCCCACGACCTTGGCTGTGAGCGCGCGCTCGCCCCCCACAGTCACAATGTAAGGCGCCTCGCTGCTGACTGAAATGTTGTACGAGATCTCCCATTCGCCCTCTAAGATGCGCTTGAGACCAAGACAATAGTTCCGGGCGGCTCGCCCTGGCGCAGAGCGGTTTTCGGTGGCCCAGATATTCTTGTCGCCGTTCCCGCAGCTTGCCTTGCGAAGCAGCTCCACGGCCTTGTCGCGCGTGTCCGTGTTGAGGAACTCTGCGATCATGACTCCGCTGAAAGCTCCTTGATTGTATGTCTTGGACGGGGTGGGGCCTGAAAGCGACGCCAATTTGCTCTTCAACCACTCGGAAGCTTGTGAGAGGTCGCCTAGGCCGTCCATGTTGCCCACGGCCATCGTCACGAAGCGCTTGTTCAGCATGTGGCCGCGGGGGTCTGGGGACCCGGCGCTCGAAGAAGTGTTCGACAAGAGCTCCTTGAAACGGTTATCGATCATAGCCTCAATCGTGTCGCTCGTCATGGGGGCTTTCCGCAGCATGTCCTCTAACTTGTCCGCTCGCAAATCGGTGTTGATGATGGCCGCCTCCACGTCCTCCATCCGGCCGGACAGAATCTCGCCGAGGGACGTGACCTGGACCTCCAGCTTCCCGAAGTCGCGGCGCAAGGCATCCACCACAGTTGTCATAGGTGCCAACTGCTGCTTCAGGAGCTTGGCGATCCCGCCCATCGTCACGGGCTCCGTGTCCATGATGGTGGCTTC